CTGATCGGCGGCTCCAAAATGGCCGCCGGACGCGAAAACATCGCTGGAGGGGTAAGTTTCGAAGCTTATTGGAACGCATTAAACTAAGTTTAATGCGTTCCAATAGGCTTTCCTTACCCGCACAGCGATGTTTTCGTATAGCAAAGGTTAATCCGGAACGGATTAACCTCGCTATACGGGGCACCACTGTATTGTCTTCCTTAATAATGTAAGCTGCAGGGTAAAAATATTTTGCATAAATAATTTCTGGCACACACCAAGGCACCATCCTTTTCGAACAGGCAGCTTAATCTGATGCTTGGCCTGTCCTAGGCCATCAAGCCTTCCAGCCTAGCCGTTCTCTTGGTGAGCAGAATTTACAGTACGTCTCGGTCTGGCAGATAGAACTCCCGGAATGGAGAATTCTGGGAGTTGGGGTCCAAAAAAGGAAGGGGGGGGAAATGGCACATGCCTACTAGCGTGCTTGTGTTGTTCTATAATGCTCAGAGCTGCCTTATTTTCAAAGGCCTGAATAAATACTTAAAGGAATTCCTTAAGTATTTAGGAATTAATGAATGAACAAAGTTTGGAATGAATGAGTGGATTCATTTTAATTAATTATTGATGGGTTGCCTCGAAGGAATACATTTGAATTGCACAGAATGAATAATATTTTATGGGGAAAAAATTAAAGTTTTAATGTATTAAATCTTTTATCGGTCATGTGTTAGTGTGTATGCCCATGTTGTCAGCGGAGAAGTCATGTAGCTCAAAGTTAATTTTCTGTTTGGAATAATAATGATATAAAAAGGAATGTGTTAAACTATATGGAGTGAATCTTTTATTAGTTCTAGTTTGTTAAATAGATACTTAATATATGTTTCATATGGTTTCATATATTCGTATGTACATATTTCCATGTGCTTATTTATTTTACATATTGTAGCAAGCTTTACCTGTTTTGTGCTGTTATGTTCCATCAAATCAGAGAGTTTTTGAGATATTTGAAATGTTTAAGGAAGGCTTTACCATTGCTGCCACCCTAGTGAGTTCCATGGTACAATGGGCATTTGGACCAAGGTCTCTTAAATCATAGTGATACACTGTCTTCTTTAGCATACTAGCTCTCATTACATATTGGAGTGAGAATGGAAAACCAGGAAGATGAATAGAATGTTCATCCAGGAAGAGGGCATGCCTGGTTGCTTGGATCCTTGAGGAGAAGTGTTTCACAATGTAACATTGAATGTTATCCTGTTGCCTAACACTGGGGGCTTGAAGGCTGATGACATCACCAGCCAAGGCTTTAATCTTTAATTCAAAGCTAACTATCTGCTGAGGTTCAGAGGCTTGGGATGAGGCAGAAGCCTTTTATATTAAAAAATTACCACTGCTAGTCCTGCCACCAGGATTGGGACCACCACCAGCAGTTTTTTTTAATATTAAGGCTCCCTCCTTCCAGAGGCTTGCAAAGGCCTCTGCAGGTCAAAATGGATCCTAAAGAGTTTCTGAGCTGGAAAAGCAGGATAGGAAACATTAAAGGTTAGCCTTATGATGTCATTAGCCTTATGGCCATGCAGTTCCACCAACGAGATTCCAGGAATTGTGTTGACAGTTAGAAGTGTCTTTTTTTGGGGGGGGGGGTTTGCAATCCTCAGAATTCTCCATAAATTCTACAGGCAGAATTCTATGACCCCTAGTGTCCTCTGTGCCCAGGGGAGCCTGGCATCCACTGTTTGGTCAAGTGACAATGAGGGTGGTTGACTTGGGCATGAAGTCATAGTTGCATGGCTCGTTGGGTTGTATAAAGGGCTCCTCCTGAATAATTATAAGTCTCAGAAAGAACTGCAGCACCTTATCTTAAAAAAATTACAACCAGAAGGCAAAGACCAAATCCATGGCAATGTCAAAAGTAACTCGAAAGGCCTTCTCGGGGCAGAGAGATATGAAATATACAGTATATCACAGAAGTGACTACACCCCCTCACATTTCATAAATATTTTAGTATAGCTTTTCATGTGACAATGCTGTCCACTCAAAACAATGCAACACATAGCCATTAATGTCTAAACCGCTGGCAACAAAAGTGAGTACACCCCTAAGTGGCAATGTCCAAATTGGTACCTAGATGACGACCCTGCTGTATGACGAAAGTGCATGACGATTACTTTTTGCGATCGCTATAGTGATTCGCAAAACAGTCATTCCTATGTGGGAATTCCGCTGGACGTCGATTAGGTCCGTGCTTCGCAGACCGTTTATTCGCAAGATGACGATTTTTTCTGACGATCGTCGGCTTCCTAAAATGGCTGCCTTGTGTTTTCTGGACCCATGCTTCGCAGGGCAGCCATTTTAAGAGCTGATCGGTGCTTGCAAAAATGGCTTCCCTATGGGTGATCTTCGCTGGACAACCAGGTATTTTCCCCATTGGAACGTATTAAACCGAGTTTCAATGCATTCCAATGGGGAAAGGCTTTTCGCATGGCGACAATTTTGCTTAACAGCGATTTTCCCGGAATGGATTATCGTCGTCATGCGGGGCACCACTGTAGCTGTTTTCCCTCCCTGGTGTCATGAAACCTGTTAGTGTCACAAGTCTCAGGTGTGAAGGGGGAGCAGGTGTCATCGCTCTCACTCTCTCAGACTGGTCACTGGGAGTTCCACATGGCACCTCATGGTAATGAACTATCT